CCGTCCGCAGGTTTCAGGCCTGATGAAACTGCTGGGGGCCAAGGACGGGATGATTGACGACGACGCCCTGGATAGATACCTTCCGAGGCCTCCGGTTGAGGGGTCTCCTCTCTCTGTGGTGTTGAATGATCTAGTAGTTCTCTCCCTGGTGGTAACGGCTCAGGCTTCTCGGGACCTGGCAGTCGACGACGCCCCCGATAGCCTACTTCAATAGCCGCATCTTCCGCCCCAACCTGGCTACCCTTTACACTCTCTTCCACGACTTTCCCCTTCCCCTTTTTCTTCCTGCGTGCTTTCTCGAGTTCCTTTCCCTTCTCCCTCAGCGTCCGTTCATCCTTCTGTCGCTTCTTCCCCCCCCCTTCTTCTGCAGACCCCCCCCTCCTTTCCAACTCCTCGCTAATGAACTCCTCTGTAAGATACCATGGCTTAGATAGAACATCCTTTTTAAACCTAATCGTTTCTGTCCACGCATTGACTTCGTCATTTGTGTCGCGCAAGACCGCGATTCTCCGTAACAAAAGCTGTTTATTGCCCCTAAACTCCCCTAAAGAACCCTTCGCTTTGATTATCGAATGTAAACTGACATTCTCGAGATCATCGAACGAAAACTCTGGCTTCTTTCCTATTGGTGGTTTCCCTTTCCAAGCGATCAGGTTCATCAGGTAACCGGAGCCATCATCCACTATAGCTACGTTAGCGCACAGTGAGTGGGGAGGAACGAGGAGAGAGGCTCGTACCAGTGATGCTAACCATCTTTTCCATGTCATCATAGGCAACAACTATCCCAACCACCCTCACCCACCTGATGGGATGGTTTGAGTAAAACCAAACATCTTGCCCCTCGAACCCACGTCTCCGGTGTAATCGTTCGTGGATATCCTTTACCGTGAGACGCGCCCATTCATTAAAGGTGAGGGAGTGAGGGAAGAGAAAGCGGGGGTAGAATGAGAGCCCCTCAGCCAGCGGGGTAGTGGTCATCGAGTGTGAGGGATCATTAGCGGGGAGATTTCAGCGTTGGATAAAGTTGAGGGGAGGGGAAGGACAATTAAGAACAGACTATCGGTAGTCTACAGTAGACTACTCGAGTAAAGTGTGAGGAGCCGCGAAGCTAAACGCGAAATTAAGCTGTTTCCGCTCTTGGTGAAGCGATGTCTTGGCAATCACCTGATTGAGGAGGTAAATTGTTTTGTTTTGATCTTCTGACAAGGTGGAGGCTGGCGGCCCAGAGCGATGGCCGCGTATGCCAAACCAAACCTGCCAACCACTAGACTAACAGTACCCCAGTATGATTTCTCCTCCATCCATGCTCCATCCCGCTGTGGAACGAAATTCCTAATCCTATACCCCACATACATACCGTGCTCATACATACATACGTTCATACATTCCCACATACATACATACATACATACATACATACAAATATCCCAGCATCCAGTCCTCTACCTCCCACCTCTTGAAAAACAAAATATCTACCGTATTAGCAAGGGCTCATCTCGAAGTCGCCGTCATGTTTCGACCAACAGTTTTCTCCGCCCCCCTCCTGCTACTTCTGGTTTGCTGCTGCAGTGCAACTCTATCTCAGGCAACAAGTACAGCTTCCTTCGAATCCGCAGTTCCCGTTAGCTCTTCTGCCGCTTCTACTACTTCAATAGGGGCAGATGGGAACAGCAGTATCTCGCAAGGGAGCTCGTGCCCTCTGCGATACCACGATTGTGCAGTGATCGGCCAACCGAATGTTTGCTGCACTCTTGACCAAGTTTGTATCAACGACGACTCGGGGCAGCCAGCCTGCTGTCCATTCCGCACGAAATGTGTAGGATCAGTGAGCAGCATTCCTTCCAGTGGCCCAACAAATGCAGGCCTTATGCTGGGGCTCAATGCTCTCCTTACAGCGGGAGCCGCCGCGATATACTTGGCCAAGGTCTGCCCACTATGATAAGAGTCTCCTCCAAAGGGAGAGCCGGCATGGTATCTGGATATAGTTAGCGATTTCCAACTTATTTCTTTCTGTTCGATCTTCGACATTGTACATATTGTTTGCACTTCACGCAAACATCCCCCGATAATAAATACAGCACTACTCTCCATTGATGCCTCATTTCGGTACCTTCTGCAGCCGACCAGGGATCACTGCATTCAACCTTCTTATGCACCGGTCTCCATTAGTGGCCCAATCCTCGTTTAATATTGGGATCACAAACCTTTTGAAGCTTACCAGTCCCCATCCACCAATCCTCAAGTTCCCCTCCCGAGATCACCTGTCTTGGCACTAGCCTTAAACTTGGTCCTCCATGGGTTCCTCCCCCTCCCGAAAACCCTATTCCGAAACAATACCTCCCCACCAAGCTCCATATCGAGCACCCCACCCCGACACCCGACAATCATATTATGGCTTCTATTCTTAATAATACCCGAGAACGGCCGTCCACATGCAAACCAGCGTCACCATTCTCATCAACGCCCCGCTCCTCTCTCTTTCTTTCGGGGCGGAGAGCAAACCGACCAAAAAGCCAAAACCTCCCCCCCCTCCGCTTGCACAACCGGGTTCGCCACGTCTTCAACAACTCTCTCCCCCGCAAAAGAGCCCAGCAAATTCCAAAAAGTCTGACCCTGGTGATGTGATTCCAATTCCACCCTAGGGCGATTTTGATCTCCAAGTCCCCGACTTTGCCCGATAGCGTGGACTGAGGTAGTGGTGAGGTGGGGGCGGTTCCTACGGGACCGCTCTCTACTTGACCTCACAGTAGGATGAGCCGTCCTTGCTGGGTCTTGGTGTAGTGGTTTTGGTTGGGGGTGGAGGGGAAGGAACAGGTGGGTTATCGGTATTAGTAGGCGGTGCATTATTTCCTTCCTTTATTTTTATTTTTAATCCTTTCCTCGTGAGAGGGATTGTGAGGGCGCTTGGGCTTTGCGATATATACTCGTACATATGCTGTGTTTCCTTCCTTGCACCATTGTGCTGATTCGGGGGTAGCGGGAGTCGACGTCAGGTGTTCATCGTTTATCCATTTTCATGTGGGTGAGGGGTTTCAACCCGGTTTCCTTGTTGCTAGTGAGCATCGCGCTTGTAGAGGGACTCACGTTGCATATGGGAATGGATCTATGGTCGTCTGTGGCATGTAGTTTTCTTTTTCGGTGTGAATATATGAGTAGTAGACATGATCATTCGTCATCACTCGGACATTTTGTATGATAATTATTATGATATCATACTCGCCAAAAAACAAAGTCTGTCCCAATTCTTACCTATGCGCTATCATAGGAGGGAGGTTTTGAGCCACCCTTCACTCATGGCAACGGTCGAAGTGCAGTTCTGAATTTCCCCTCCCTCTCCCAACCCATCATAGCATGTCAATCGCTCACTCCAACATCGCCCTTCCCTGATCTTCCCACCGACCAACTCCTCATACAAATCCACCTCACTCTTCCCAATATCCATCTTCAGATTCCCATCTCCAGTGCCACTCTCAACATCTGTCGCTTCACCATCCTGCTAGGGTCAACCCAGGCTTCACAAAAGTATTGAGTAGGGATACTCACATCACTATCTTCTACTCCATCGAATTGCGATGGTTGTGAACCGGTCGCCTGAGTGATGGATAATGATGAGTTTGCCACAGTGCCATTAAAAACAGTTCCAATTTTTACTGGTGATGGCTTCTGTTGTTGTCTCGTTTGATTCGAAAGCCACTCACAGCCGATGAGACGATCAGATCCTTTGTCCTAGGGTACCGACGAAATGTCGTATCAGTAGGGCGATCAAATATGATAATAATATTATTAACATATTATTATGTGAAAAATTATACAACAAAGGTCACCCATACCACTCAGTTTTAAGCCTTATCCCTCCCATACCACACATACCATCATTTTGATATATTATTATCCCAAGATTATCTGGAAATCTTATTTTATTTTGACATTGAGGTGGTATAGCATAATATAGCCATTTTTTATAATAATATTTCTGAAAATAGCATACTTTCCAATACCTAAAACCAGCAGATGCATGAAAAAGGTTCTGTATGATTATTATATAGCAGGTATTTCTCTATAATATTATATTCTCTTAAAAATGGGAAATATGAGTAGGAGTCCTTAATATGAAGAAATGAGGAAAATCGTAGTATTTTTTTAAAAATGTGTTCTCTAATCTTACCATCTTTTCAAAACCATATTATTTCTTACTCTTTAACATATTGTCATACCTCCATGTGCAGCTTGAGTGAAAATTTTTTACCTATTGAATAAATTACGTATTTAATATTATACGGTCTTTATAATATTATTATAGTATTATAATATTATGATAATACGAATCTCACGCCCTACGTATCAGTCACATGAATCCCTTCACTTACGACATAACGAACCCCCGAGCTATCCCCCCTAAATAATGTGCGCAGCAACCAGAACCCCACCGACGTGTAAACAGAGGAGCAAATTGGTCGTCTGCCATCAAACGGGGCCATCACTGCAACACGTTGCAGAAAGAAAAGAAAGAGGGGAAAAACCGCACTTTCTCTTTATACCGCTTGAGCAGCTCCGCCGTGCGCTTCCGTTGTGGCCGCGAAAACTCCGAGTCGGTAAATTTGATAATCATTTCTAGTGACTTTCTCCACCCGTCAAGCACTTTACGCGGCGGGAGTTTTCCGTAGTCGTGTTTCAAGTATTCAAGGATTCCCCAATCCTGAGGGTGTTTGTTGGTCCTGGAGAAGCGGAAATACCTCGGTTTGGTAGGCATCGTTTGGCTGAGGTATTAAACTGCTCGTAGAATGCGGAAAGTTGAAGACGTGGCATCGTGAGAGTAGGTGAGGGTAGGGTGAGATGAGATGGGGGGCGTGTTGTGGGGGAAGTGAGAGTTACCGTATCATAAGAACTGGAATTATTGAACCTCACGCTAGAACGCTGGAGCTGCCTCTCGTAGTAAGGTCGAATTTTCCCCCTTATTTGTCTCAGCTGAGGGCGAAATGACAGCTCCCCGCTATGTTCCCCCCCCCCTAATCCAAAGGAGGAAATTCTGGACGTCTTCGCGTGAGGTCCAGTTTTCACAGTAGCGAGGCGATGAAAATGGGATCGTTGGTGTTGAAGTGCAGGCGGGAACCTGGATGGATATCAGCCTGGCTTAACTGCAAGCATGTTGTTTTTAAATGGTACGCGCCAAGACCAAATCAATAGACGCTATCGCATGAGGGAACATGCATACCGTACGAGTACCATACAAGCACCCAGTAATATGTTTTCATACAAGACAGGGATTATTTTGCAGGTTAACCTAAATTAACTTTGCGAAAACATATTCCCTGGTACAGTATCATATAAGGGTGGGAACCCATTAACTGGAACAGACAAGGATGTATTTGGCTCGTTAACCTCAAATAACTGTTCCATAACTTTCTGCCGGAACTTGTACTTGTACTCTGTGGGCATGGAAATCCTTCGTTTCAAGAAGGCTTGCCTGATTCTCAAGACAGTCCTTCATGAGGACGGGCAACCTTCCATCTTTCGAAGCATCCTCCCATACACAGGATTCACCACTTTTACCGGGTCAGCGCTCAATGAATCCTCGCTTACATGAACTATAGAGGCATTATATTCGGGGGTTGCAGAAACCGGCCTCATAATATTGTTACTTAAGATGTTGTGATTCCATCCCTCAAGCACAGCGATCCGTCGATGGAATTGGGAAGTTACCGGTACGCAATAAAATTTCAAGCTCGATGGATGTTGATAAGGCTCCCAATTCAAGCATCGTTAATCCGTGGCCCCCACAAGGCCCGAAAAAAATGGCTAGTACGCATACCGATACATGCATGGTATCAACTGGCTTGAACCACAAAATTTACCTGGGGCTTTCGGTGCATGCTGGAGCACTGAAATTCGATCTGATGCAACTGGTACAGTACAGTAAAGTATCGTAAGATACCGGTGGTACGCACCAATACCCATAAAATAATAAGTCAATACCATCTGGGTACGGTTCGCGAATTCCTATTGCAGTTTACAAAGAGACTCCATCACCCTACCATGATATCATACCGTATCTAGGGCGAAAATGAGGTTCTGTTTTTGGACCAATAATTTCGATCACCCGGGTTCTTGCTCTTTGGTACCGCGGTCAGTCTGACCCTTGAAGCATTGATTATATATAGGACCCTGTGTCCCATCCCGCGGTACAGCTACCTGTAGTACCATAACTTTCAGATGGGTCTGCAACAAATCGTGCCCCATAGTCCTCGCACATCATACAAAATGTACGGATTGAGCTGGATCACAAATACCGTAGACCGTTGGGAGAGCCACACAACGTGTCACTCGTTTTCGTTTCATTTTTTCCTTTATGGCTTCCCAGCAAATTAACCCGCACCGACAAACGGCTGGGTTTTCAGGTTTTCATCCACCTAATCAAACATAGCAAGGAATGGACCGCATTTATTGTGATCATTCACATTACGTGCTGAATAACACACAGCTATTCAGAAGCTTCAGTGCTAAATCGTGGCGATGATATATAAGGTTTCCAAGGCACGTCTCAACCACCTCTTCTCATTATTACAGTTTGAGCCCCCCAGCTTCTTATGACTTCCCATCAGTCTTATACTACCAAATAGCCTTGGCTGGAATGATATTTACTTATCCGCTAATGGCTATACTTCGAATACCGGCTGCCGATGCATCAACTGGCGGCCTTGCTGCGGAGGGCCGCGGAGCCTGGTAGAGTTGGGCCATGGGGAATCAAGTGTCGCGCTATCAGTTCCTTCACGCCTACCGTAAGATAACCCCTCATACACTATTTTTCCTACAAAAGTCTGGGCTACTCGCTGCTCGGAAGCTCCCAGCTCTCTACTACGCAAGTGTCTCCCCTTCTAGAGACGTGTACCGGTACTGATGCAAATCCCAACACGATATCCGACGCTGCAGCAGCATTTGTGTACTCAATAGGACAAATTTTGACCGCCCCCGGGCGTACTCGGCCACCATGGACCTCTGATCCCGAGTGATGTGCGATGAGCGGGGAGTCATGGTAATGCGGGACTCACCCACTGGTTGTCCGGGCTGCGAGGCACAGGTCAGGGGCGGGGATACCATACGCACGAGCGGCGTGACTACACGGAAATTCAGACCTATCGAGAGCTTTTTGCTTGCTTTACTCGCGAGAGTGGACGGCCCTCTACTAGTGCGGCCGAGTTGGAATTGGACACTTTGTATGAGAATTGCCACTTTGAGTGCCCACCCCAACTCTGTCGCGCAAGCAGACCTCCGGCAACACTTTTAAGAAAATTAAATGCCACTTTCGACCAATCATACTTTGCCTTCAACCGTAGGCCAATGTTAACTATGATTAATCCATACTCTATGATTATCTAATTTGGAATTAGGGAGGGGGGTCTGCTCTGAACCGAAGGGGAAAGCCC